TCAACTCATAGCGCCCCTAGTTAGATGAAATTTTCGCCTTTCTCCCCGTTTTTGGCGGTCTCTTCTCTAATCATCGTGACGAAACGATTCCAATCCTGAAACGTAGCCGTGTATGCTGTTAGCTAGCCTTCACTCATGGCCACTGAGTGTCGTGAAAAAGTTGCTAAGAACACTGTGTTTAAAAAGCAGTTCTTCACTTTTACCTGTTCTTCCTACGAAATTATCTTAAAATATCGAAAAAACTAGTTGTTTGGATTCAACAGTTCTTTTAAAATATTATATTATTTTATACATAGGTCGTGGATAAGTGACAATTTTCTAATTTGAAATAAAGCACTCCCCGAATGATTCTGGATAACTCGAAATCAGGAAAGATGACGACTATGTCATCTTTCCGAAATTACTGTATGTACGGAGTGGTCCGTTTAAGAGGGGCCTATACCTTATCTCGAAACCTACGGGGATTACAAAAATAATTTAAACACTAAAGTTGTTTCTATTAAAATGACCTTAATTTTTTTTCCTAATCGACAGCTTTTTATATACAGGGTGGTAAAACAAAGTTACATTTTTTAAAATAAAACATCCTACACTTTATTGCATATTTGGATAGTCCTTGCAAAGACAAATATGAGTATATATGAGTATGGGTCTGTGATGCACCGTTTCGAACTTATTAGCGATCGTCTTCAGAATTCAGGTTATGTTTAAACTATCATCCTTGGGTTGATTATTAACCTTTTAAACTTTTTTCCATCTATTATTTTCACAAATACTAGCTTTTATTTAGACAATGATCAATCAATCAGACAGATCAGACAATTTCAATTATATAGCATAGTACCGGCCTTATTTTGTGGCTTAATTGGCAGATAAAATTAAAAACTGGGAATCAGATTTAAATTACTAAGATATAAAACAGAATATTAAACTTTGCGCAATGTTGCCAAATTTCGCAAATTACTTATTTCTACGATTAAATGTCTACGTGAAATGATTACAAAAAATTTACACTAACTACTAATGCATACTCCTTACAAGTAAGATTAACTAAATTAATTTTTCAATATGTCCCCCATTTTGAAGAATACAAATAGTTTATGCTATTTTTAAATGATATATGCCATTCGAGTTGTAATTCGTTTCATTCAGACAGTGTATTACCGCGCGAACTCGTTGCTGCACTTGCATAAAAAAAGTACATCGGGGTCAAATCTGGACTCCTCGTTGATCAGGAGATGGGTCCGTTTTGTCGGATCCACTCCCTGAAATTTTCATTTAATTTAATTTAATAAATTTAAATATCGTACGGATGTTAAATTTTGTTGGTAAAATATGGGTCCTAAAATTCTAGATCTACTGATTGCACACCAAATTAAATTTGGATGCTCTGTTTGGGAAATATTATTTTGTATATATTAATATATATTAATAAGTTTAAATATGTTAAGGACGTTAAATTTTGTTGGTAAAATATGCGTCCTAAAACTCTAGATCTTCTGATTGAGCACCAAAAATATTTTAAAGTTGAACATTGCCTAAAGAAAGGCATTATTTTCGTAAAAATTATAGATGGAAAATAGTTTAAAAAGTTAATAAGCAAACGTAGGGTGTCCTATTTTAAAAAAATGTAAATGTAACTGTGTTAAAAAAAGTCACTTTAATAGAAACAACTTTTGTATTTAATTTTTTTTATGACCCCCGTAGGTTTCGAGATAAGCTACAAACGGGTCACCCTGTACATAATATACCTATATCTAAGTCTTGCCATTTTCTGACAAATTTTGAATTTTATATCAAAAGTGACGTTTGCAAGTTTACATATCTTCCTTTAGAAAGGGATGTACTTTAGTAGTCTCTGCTGACAAGGTAATCGAAAAGGTTGACTTTGACAAGGTTTCCCAATTCGTACGACAAATGGCACCTAACTAGAGTCATTTTCTATTGTTTTAATCTCAAGTCTATAAAACGTTTAAAAAAAACACTAAATATTGAAGATAATGCTAACATCAAATAAAACTACTTTATTATTTGCATTCAGAAAAAATGAGATTGATAGGTCTTGAAATTGTTAAAAAAAATTGTTATTCGCTTAAAACAATATTTCTTGCAGGTTCTTGTATATCTGCAAAGTTTCTCAGCGAAATAAAATTATAAAAATAGAGTGATCCAGGCGATTTTTTCATTCAAATTTTTAATTTTAGTTTTTTACCACTCTTTATTTACTTATTTTTGAAATATCAACACATGCCACTAAAGTCAATTCCCATGGATAAAACACAAACATCGGTAACATAGATATACTTATTCTTAGTAGCAGTGTAGGTTAATTTCAGAGGAATTAAAAAATGTCTTAATATACAGGGTGTTCAATAATACACAAACCTTCTATATATGGCAATATAATATTTTGAAAGTAAAAGTGTATCCAAACCATAGTTGTCTTAAGATTTTTTTGATATTCTTTAAAGATGCTCTACAGACCACTCTGTCCAAGTTTACATCACCGATCTACCTTTTCTACCAATAATGTTTCCAATTTCTCGAAATGATATCTCAGCCTCTCGTAGGCCTACTATCCTACATCATTCTAATTGACTTAATTGAAGGTACACGACATCCCAAAGGCGATACAATTAATAGTTCTAAGGAAATTCAGCACAGAGTCAACCGACAAACTAAGCAAGTAAGATGATACTGCATTACGGAAACTAACGCTCCCAAAAAAAACAGGAATAAAAAAATCGACCTAGACAAAATGCTCTAATTTATTTTCGAGTTTGTGAAATGGCCACTAGGAGGTTTTTGGAACTTAAAATTTTAAAATTTTCATATCTGCAAAAATGTTATCCACATTTTAATAAATTTAGAGTAGTTAAAAAGTCACTGGTACTATGACTGATGCGATTGTGATTCCTAACATTGCAGACCAGGTACCGTTTTTTGCCAGCATCGCAAAAGAGAACGTTTTTTTGGAAAAAATTATAACCGTAATTTAAAAATAAAATGTCAAGGAAACCGAAGGTATGAGACACACTAAAGCCCTCTTTCAGGGGCCGTCAAGGACTTTTGCTCCCAACCTTATCGGGCTCAACAGGAATCAGCTGACGCTGACTATTATGCTGATAACTGAACAGTGATCAACAAGAAAGCGTCTTAGGAACATTGGCATTAGACAAGATGTATTATGTCCAAGATGCAATGCAGCGGATGAAACTCCTCTGCATGTACTTGTCGACTGTCAACTCCGAAAGGAAATTCTGGGAGTGGACACAGGAAATAGTATCAACATTCTGGAAGTGGGTGTTGGAAGGCTGATTCGCTATGCCTCGGCAGTCGGTCTCCCCTACACTCCCTCCAAACTCACGAATTGTCCTTCACAGGGCCTGCACACACTGAGCGCCCGGCTCAAATGAATTCAAATTCCAAAAAAGTTCGAGATAATTGAACATTAATAATTACCAGTAAAGTGGAAATGTTTTCCAAAATTCTAGTTTTTTTTTAATTTTTCAAAGAAACTTCCACAGGCTACTGTAATACTTTTTATAAAATTTTTGGTTTCCTCCTGCGTCGGTTTTTGTTGAGTCGAACTTGCTGACGTTTCGCCAATCATCCTGTTGGCTTCTTCAGAGCTTGACTGAAACTGGCTCGTATTTTACTCGGTACCTGTTTTTATATTATTTGAGGAAGGCGGAGCTAACGCCGTCTCTTATGACGGATTCCCATATTGGTGACATGTAGAGACCTGAGTCGCGGTTAAAATTGTGAGGTTGCTTATAGATTTCTATAGAATAGAATATAATTTTATGTCCTGTTTCATGATTGTGTTCGGCCATTGCTGATAAGTTGTCTTAGTCAGAAGGCTCTTTCATGTTCTTTGAGCCTAGGTGATATTTTTCGTCTGGTCTCTCCAATATTATCTTTAAATTTTTTTATTCATATGTCAGGTTGGGATGATAACATCGAGATGCGGTTTCCCTGAGTTTTTTTGGCCCTTATTAAACTATCCAATTACTTAAATAAACTCCTATCGTTGCAAGTATCCTTTTTCAGAGAAAGGCATTAAACAAAAAAAAAATTATTTTTAATTTACTTTTATTATTTATTAGAAATTTTTCTAGAAACCGAGCTTTGAAATTCAGAATAACAATTACGCCTTCTGCTGGCCATTTTAGAATCTCGAAAATAATTTCCATCATATTCTCTCTGCCGACCTACTAATATATTATGTTCAAATTTCAGTAATGCGTTATCTCGTTGCCCTTTACCGGCACAAGTAAAAAATTAAAAATTACTAAGAAACCTTGCTGTATATCCCTTTGCGTAGGTATTTCGCTTTTATTGTCAATATACTCTGTGGTTTTGTAAGTACTATATATTATTGTAGAGCGAGGCAATAGCGTACGCAATTTATGAGAGTCCTTGGTACGATCAAAGTCAAAAGGTTAAAACTGCCTTGCTTATTATGATGGCCAGAGCGCAAAAACCTTTGCTGATTACTAGGGGTCCGTTTGGGGAAATGTCAATTCAGTCATCCTTGACGGTAAGCATAACAACATGGGAAATAATCCATAAAAATTATTCTCGATTCTTTCGGTCCTGAAGTGTTGGCTGAAACAGTCAGAGTAGTCGCAGTTGAACTCCAATTTAAACTCAAATAATGTGGTATAACCATTTACTTATTTTTTAGGTCTTAAAAGCAACCTATACATATGTCACACTCATGACGCAGAAATACCACATCAAATAATCTGAATTGGAATCGTACTATTTCAACTTTATTAGGAAAAATAAGTACTGAGGACGCTGACGTTGTATGCCATAAAACACTAAAGTGAAATTTTTAAGATTTTATGTTAAAAAAATTACGTTCCCTAGACATGAAATGGATGTTAAGCCTCTTCAGTGTGGCCACCCGACATCAAAATAGTTTCTTGTTTTTGTATTACCCTACACAGGTCTACAGTGAGTGAATTTGATGTTTGAAAGCTGTTTGCTTATTTGTATATTTTGGGGGGGGGGGGCGTTTTCTAAAAAACGCTATATTTTTGCTCTATCGCGTTATTTTTTTTTATAGCACTCTATATCATAAAAATGTTATTTTGTTAATATACGTACCTATGAGATAAATATCTTGGATCCATTTTAGGTATGATTTTTAAATACATTAATTTTTATGAAATTAAATGTGATAATGTGTAATAGATTTCTCTGCAATGCAACAGATTTGCCTGCTTATGCGCAGTTTGGTTAGTTGGTTGATAACGATTTGTGCCTATATGGCTTCTTCATACTTCTTTTCCCTTAAAATTGTCTAATCTCTATAGAAAACTTCGTGAACTAGTGATCTAAATGGGTTGCATATGAAAAAACAAATTTGATGCGGATCCAAGCAATCGAAACCTTGCAATACATACACTCATACATAAAAAATTAAAAATAGTAAATTTTTAAAAAATGAATTAGTATTTTTTTTAAACATTCAGAAACAAAAGTTGTATTCCCTTATTAAACATTTTTTCTTACATTCTTTTCTCTCATGCTTTCCAAAACTGTCATAAGTAATTGCTAGGGATAGTCTATGCATAATTTATGAATAATGTCATGAAAAACTGCATTTTTCAACCAGCGCGACGGGATATACTATTTGAACGTCTACAACTAAACATAGCATATATCACTTTTATCCCGCGAGTTCAAAAACAATTAATTACGTTAAAAGATATTCAGCGAAGTAGTGCTCCGCCAATATATTAACATCTAGACCATTTTCTTATCTAATTGAACTTCATACGTAGTACAGTATCAACGTTAAATCATCTCACCCAAAATCATTACCTTAATAATAGAAAATGTGGGAGGTTTCTGAAGCAAGTTTATATGCGTGCATAGAGCGACAAGTCGATTTATAGGTTTCAATGATTACTGGGAAAGACTGTTGCGGTTTTTCCATATAGGTACCCTGTAATCATGACAATAATATTTTAATAAAAGCAGACGACAGAGCCGGCTTCCAACTATAAACTTAAAGTTACAATATTGTAGTCTCCGAGTAATTTGTGAAATGTGGTAACCATTTTTAGCCTCTTGCTAGCAAATCAATGTTGGTAGACCTAATAAATAATTAGTTCGTGAACTTTATAAGAATTGAATCAATTTGGCGTAAGTAACTAATTTATAAAACAAAATATCGGTTTTTGAATGTACAAACCAGAAAATGTCGAAGTATTTTTAATAATCCCGTCTGCTAAATTTCCCTACTAATTTTCAATTATCTCAAGCATATTCCAGTTTAATTAAAGACACAATTAAGAATTAATCGCAACTGAGTACTTTGTCAATGTCTTTGTATATGTATATAGAAATATTCCTTGCCTTTGCATTTTTCCAATACGAAATGGTTTATATTTCTCAGAAGGCTGGGCAAGTCCGGAGCTTATTGCTCTATTTGGATAAAAATACTGACATTATATATAAAACTACGAGTCAGGCTTCGTGCTCAATATTTCACCTTTATACCGTATATTTTATTCGAACACAAAACAACACGGGTTTTAGATATAATTTGGCATAAAAACCACAAGAAACAAATATATCCAACTCTTTAGTAACTCTTAATAGAAAATTTCTTTTCGCGTGAAATCTTCAATCTGCCAAATAGTACACGAGGAGATGGCTCCCAATAGAGAGATCTTAAACTTCCCTAAATGTATCATGGTAGTAGTTGGTGTATGGCGAAACCATTTAACATCGAATTCAATTCTGCGAAAGCTCTACTTTTTCTACTCCCTGTGTATTCATATTTATATGGTGCTCTTCATATCCTCCATGTTCACCTGGGTCGCCGTCGGTCTGACTGGAGTAAACAATTCAGCAGAAAAAAAAGACAAAATAAGTTTGAATATTACTTATTTAATCACCATATTCACTATCATGCTCAAGGTTGTGCTTTGCCAAACGAAGAATATTCGACGAATAATCACGTTTGTGCAGGAAGAAGAGAAAAAGATCAACGCGTCTGAGGACCCAGAAATATTGGAAACTCATTTAGAACAAGTAAAGTTTTGCACCAATGTCAACGTAATACATTTTATTTGCCACTTGATTTTATTCGTATTTGCTGTTGTGGAAAATATAGTGACCAGACTAAGCATAGAAAGGCATAACAAAGCATACAATGAAACTTTGATAAAGCCAGTCATATATGAATTATACTATCATAATGTGGATCCGGTAAAATATGAAACACTCTTACTGGCGTTCGATGACATCGGCGGGACTTTTCTGAATACGATAAGCGTCTCGACTAATATTATTCTTTCTTGCGTTATTTTTATGTCATCAATGTTGAAAGTTCTGCAGACCAAATTTAGGAAAATGATGGTTCAAGGAGAAGACGTTATGAGTAAATTGAAAAAGTTGGCAAAAGAACACCGACAGCTCATTAGGTAAGGAAATGCGTATTTCACATTTGCTTCAACGGTAGTTAATGTCATAACAATTTACGTGCATAATATATTAGAACCGCAAAACTATTTTCGATAGGCGTGTTAAAGATTACTAACTAAAGATAATTGCATGGAGTCAGATTCTACGTAGTTAAGATGTGATTTCGAACGCAGAGCTGACTAACTGAGCTTTGGTTAGTTCTCCTTTCTAATTTGATCATGCTTCTCATTCCCAAAAAATATCTTTCGATTTTTTTTTAAATTTAAAAATGCATTTATTATTATTATTCAATCATATTTAAAAGAATATGGCTCTATGTTTAAAAATAGATCGACATTGCTAGCTGCAGCAAATAATCAAAACTATTCCAAAGTGCGAAAATCGAAATTAAATTGTATTATTAAAATATCGCTTACAATTTTTGCAATGCGTCTATATAAAAACTAATTTCGCATCAAATAATAATTCGTTCACACAGATATTAATGCCTTTAGTTGTGAGGTACGTAGTCTCGGATGTAGAGGTTAATAGGCTAAACTATAAGTAATGAACCTAAAAATGTCTTTTTTTAATTAATATTTTCGAAAGACTTTAGACAAAGTTTCGAAATGTAAGCGTTTTAGTAATTTTGGCATGCTGAATCTAATTTTAAAATTATAAACGTCAAATTTTCGTCAGAGAGTTAACCTTTGAAAGCTGCAGATAATAAAAGCTTCTCAACTTTTTTGTGGTCTACAACTTTTTTGTTGTGTTTAGACTTTTCACTTATCAACCAGGATAAATTGTGTTTTGATACAAGAAAAAGGTACACCTTTAATTTTTCAAAGAAACGTTCAAAGGCTACTGTAATATTGAACATTGTCTCGGATGACAATACCATATTGGTGAAGGTAAAGACCTGAGTCGCGGTTAACATTGTTTGGTTGTTTATAGATTTCAATAGATTCTCGGATTTTTCGTTGGTAGAGAATTGATTACATGCAGGAATTTTAGTTTTATCGAATAAAATTTTATGTCCGGTTTCGTGATTGTGTTCGGCAACTGCAGATAAGTTTATTTAAGGCTCTTTCATGTTCTTTGGGCCTAGTTGATATTTTTCACCCGGTCTCCCCGACGTATTCTATGCCACATATGCATGGAATGCTGTAAACTAGTGGAAACTTGTGGTGAAGTATATTTTGTGATGAAACGCTTAATACCTCAAGCAAATGTAAGGTGTTTTAATTCACCGACCAGTAAACAAGAGATTGATAACCGATGATTTTCGGACCGGATGGTGATATGGTTATGCATTCAGGTATCAGTGTGTGTGAGTAGTTTTTCTGTAAACAGAATGATCCAATGTTAGGTCTGATTCCAAAGACAATGAGTCCGAAAGCAACCCCATATATCGCTAGGATGGGCTGTTTTCGAGGAAAACGGTTTTCAAAAACGCACTGTCATTGATTGGCTTGTTATTTTGTTGCCACTTTGACATTTGTAGTGTTTTTTGTTCATATTGTATCCGATTATTTTTTAATTTGATTTTTTTTAAGTGTGAAGCGTTTTTCGAACTGTGAATTGGCATTTATTCATTTTATTTACCGTTTTTTCCACAAAGAAGATAACCACTTCCGAGAGTATTTTCAAGCTTAGATAGAAATCTAGCGGAACATGAATCGGTTAGTCAATCTCGGAGCACTGAAGGCCTACGGGAACCTCTGCACATTGACGTTTTTCCATAAATTATTGTGTGGTAAACGGCATTTAAGCCAGGAGTTTATGAAGCACTCGTTCCCCTCGTGATTAATAAACGAATGACGTAAAAAGTTTACCGACGTGTTGCATATTATGCTTCTTCTATGACCTTTAGTTTTTGGGTACATATTTGCAAAACAGCAGGAATACATTCACTGATATGATTGTTAGAATTGACAAACGTCAAAATTCTAGCCGTGCTGTAAAATCTCCGAAAATATCCGATTGTTGCCAAACCCGTGCGGAAATATCCCGGAAATGTCCGAAGAGGCTCGGATCCGTGGGACAAGAAACTGACTTGGTAAAGTGACTCTTCTCGCACGCTAGATTGGTGTATAATTGGAAATTTTACAGAAGGGAGTAGAAAAATGAACTTTTAGCTTTGTAGAATGACAGAAATGCATTAACTTATCTAAAAGTTCAGAACTTAACACCCAAAGACTTTCCAAATCATTTAGAATTTTACCGGTGGATTGTCAATTATCAAACTAAAATAACCAACTTTCAGCATGGGTCTTTTATTAATGTTTGGGCAGGTATCGTGAATAATACATTAATAGGTCCCTTCATTTTTCCAAATAGATTAAAGCCAATGATCACCTGGCTGAATGGAGCATCAACTTATTTGGGGCCGGGTGTAAAACAATTTTGCGAACAAGTGGATAGGTAGAGATTGGTGGGCTCAGTCGCTGAATTGTCTATGGAGTAATAGGTGAAATTTTATTTATGCCACAGAAGAAGAGAGTATAGAAGAGTTATTAAGTCGAATTGATGTTGGTGGAAATCAAATAAGGACCGAGATTCTTCGGGCATCTTAAAATAAGATAAGAATAAGATAGCGGCTATATATTCAAAATAATGGAAATGTGTTTTTAGAACTTACATTGCATTCAATACCGAATTATGAATTAACCTTACTGGTTAATGCTATTTTATAAAAATGGCCTGCTAGTGAGCCATCAAATGAAAATCAACCAATTACAAACCCATCAATCTTGTTTCAAGCCATACTTTTCAATTTTTGATCCATCCATTTTCCGCGAAAGAGCGTACTTTTTTCTTGTAACACAACATAACTTTTCCGATTTTGCAAAAAATTTCTAAACATCAACCCACAAAAATTAATTGCAGTTTTTGTTACCCGTACCTCTCAAAAGTTGCGCCCTTGCCAAATTTGATATTTATAATTTTAAAGTCAGATCCAGCACTAAAATTTAAAAACTTTCTCTCAACTCACAGGGCTCCGTTGGAGGACGTTTCTCGACATATGCTTATATAGAAAACTAGTGCTTATTTTTTACCTAGAATTTGCTGGTATAGTTTGAACCACTAATTTTGAGACACTCTGTATTTTCCCATTGTAAATAACGTGTCATAAATAAACTGTTGATTTTGGATTAAAGGGAATTACATAATTTTCTAACATCTTATTCATCATTGCATCTATAATTTTAGCTTTGTAGAAGATTTGAATGAATCTATTAAGTACCTCATCATGATAGAGTATACAACTATATCGCTAAATATAGCCTTAGTGACCTTAAGGATAATTAAGGTAAATCTTTAATTAATAAAATTTGAAATTAATATTCTTTTGATATTAAACAGAATAACTAACAACTAATAGTAGTTTACGTACAAGTCGGAACTTGCGTACACTACTATTGTATTGAAATGTATTATTAATTAGCATTTTAATTTTTATTGCAGGAGAAATCATACTTAATGAGAATTGGTAGATTATTTTATTGTAGCTTCCTGGTTGTATACATATTAGCTTTGGGATGGAGCTCAAATGAAATTAAAATGCAGGTGACTTATTCCCCACGTTATTCTTCCCCTAGTTGTGGTATCCTAAATCATTAAGGTTTTTTAACAGAGTATAGCAATTGGAGATGCAATTTATGAAAGCTCGTGGTACGAACACGACAAACCAGCACAGAAGATGTTGCTCGTAATGATGATGCGATCTCAGAAACCTTTAACCATGACCAAAGGACCGTTTGACGAGATGACTCTTCAATCATCTTTGATGGTAATACTACCAAATAATATATTTTTCCCTAACACGGGATGAACGAAAACCGAACGAACATTGCAGGTACTGAAGGCCGCCTACACCTACGTGACTATAATGACACAGAAACAAATATGAGCACCTCTAGTAAAATTTCATATTACCAACCATAATATAATATGCATCTTATCACGGAAATCAACTAATTACTTGGTGGAATTAACGATTACCAATAAGTAAATTATATTTCAGTTCAACGTTTTAGGAGATCCCTTGGGCGAATGGAATAATGTGGTGTTGTTTCTTTTAACTGTAAATTTTTAAGACACCAATAAACCCTATCCTATATTTGATAAATTATGTAAAATACTCTTATTGTTGTGGGGATGTGTGTCTCTGTGTATGAAATGATTTAAAAATAACATTATTGCAGGTGTCTTATATTTTCTATACGCAGGAACGACTGATGTTAATAATGGATCAAAAATTCTTGGTCCGTATATGCCAAAAGGAGCATTAAGTTTACACAAAGTATTTCTATAGGCACCGAGCTATTTTTGGGATGCAAAATAAAATACAATTATATTTTTTAACGTAATATGTAGAGAAAGTTAAATAAAGTGTATCATCTTGCTACAACAGACTGCTCAGAGTACCTAACATAGCTAACGAAAATTGTATCTTAATTGCTTCATCTTTACTTACCATATATTCATAATTCAATTCAAATTATTGATATTTTATTTACCAATAATATCTTTGCTATCTGTTCACTGTGATTCACTATTCTTCTTGGCTTCTCATCTCACAGATTTCGCTTAATGAAACTGAATTATTTATTAACCCTCTTATTGTTAAATAATTAAAGATCATGTATAGACAAGAAAAGCATATTACGATTAAACAAACCCTATTTTTTGAACAGCAGTATTCACATCAAAATATCAAAACAGCCAGATTTTGTTAAGGTATATTTGGTCCGGTATCCTTGTTTTTTCGGGTTAAATGTAGGTTTGTGTATTGGTGAATTCATCATTTATCATCCAACATGATAATTGATGGATTTTATTTTCTCACCTAGTGAGAAAATAAATAGTAAACTAAAAGGCCCACATTTTATTTATATAGGAATTCAATTTATTGAACATTTTAATGTAGAGGTTTTTGCTAAGGTTCACTTTGATTCTTTAAGAATTCAGAAAAAAAATCTTTACTATTGATGGACATTTTTCAATAACTGTAAAGTACAACATGATCTCCGTATGAAAAAACAAAACAAAATTAAAAAAAAAACAAAATAGTCACAAAATTTTATAAATTCGTAAGGAACGAAATCAGTTTCTTTTTTTTGGAATATTCGAATAGCCAAAATTTGTCTAAAACTCTCCTTATTTCACTATTTTTCTATCTCGCAGTTGCAGAAATTGTCATAATCGAATCAATTATGGAAACATTAGCCAACAAACTTTCTTATCACAATTACGTTACAAGATATTGAGGAAAGTGTTGAAAAGCAATTAATTACTTACAATATAACTCCTGAAACATATGTAAGTTGCAGTTCATACGTTTGTGCATTCTCAACCTCAAATCATCTCCAAATAAAATCATTTACTTAATAATAGAAAATGCGGGATTTCCCGAACAATTTTTTATGCGTGCCTAGAGCTGAAAGTCGATTTCTTCGGGTTCCTGATTACAGGGAAAAACCACTGCGGTTTTTGCCTATAGGTATATACTCTATAATCATGAAAATAATAATTTAATAGAAGTCGGCAACAGTGCCGGCTTCGAAATAACCATAAACTCAAGGTAATAATTTCGATATTCTAATTTTCAAGTAATTTGTTGAAATTACCCTCTTAAACCCTCTTGATAGGACTTTTAGTTTAATTATGGCTCACGTAGTAAACAATTAATGCTTCGGGATACAAAATATAGTAGTTTTCATACCGAAATTCCAAGTCATTTTTGATAAAAGGATTGATTTTTTTGGATAATATGTGAAAAATAGTAAACAATTTATAAAAAGAAAAACCTCAGTCTTTTCAACTCTAATATTGGTGAGGACCAACATTTTTGAATGTACAAACCGAAAAATGCATTGTGAACAGGTTCAGCTCGCTTAGTTGGATTTTCGAATTTTATAATAAAACTTTTTAATTACATCAAGCCGATACTAAGTCAAAATATGCGTCATTTATGACAAGATGTCTTATTTTAAATTAGTTTAGTTATTCTACTAATTTCAGTTTAATCAAAGGTATTTTTAGCTTTGCATTTTCCCAATAAGAAATTGCTTATATTTTTCAGTATGGCCAAGTCCGGACCTCATTCATGTATTTCGATTGAAATACGGCTGAATATATAAAACTACGTGCCAGGGTTTATTCTTAATATTTCACAATTCCATCATATAGTTTATTTCAACTAAAGAAATCCTTAAAATAACACGAGCTTTAAATATAGTTTGCCCAAAACAACCACAAGAAACACATGTAACCAACTATTTAGCAACTATTAATTAAAACCAGTAAAAAGACATAATTTTGATAGGCAAATGGCTGCCAATAGAGAGATCTTAAACTTTCCGAAATGTGTCATGATCATTTTTGGTGTATGGCGAAATCATTTAACGTCCAACTCCATTCTTCAAAAGTTCTACGTATTCTACTCCGTATTTATTCATATTTATATGCTGGTCTTTATATCATCCATGTTTACCTGGATCGCGGTTGCCCTGACTGGAGTAAACAATTCAGCCGAAAAAAATGACAAAATAGGATTGAATATTACTTATTTAATCACCATGTTGACTGTTATGCTCAAGGTTGTGCTTTGCCAAACGAAGAATATTCGACGAACAATCGCGTTTGTGCAGGAAGAAGAAAAAAAGATCATCGCATCTAAGGACCCAGAAATATTGCATACTCATTTAGAACAAGTAAGATTTTGTACGAGTGTCAACATAACACTTTTTGTTTGCCACTTGGTTTTATTCGTATTTGCGGTTATTGAAAACGTAGTGACCAGACTAAGCATAGAAAGGCACAACAACATATACAATGAAACTTTGATAAAGCCGGTCATATATGAATTATACTATCACAGTATGGATCCGATAAAATATGAAACAATCTTGGTCTTGTTCGATGACATCGGCGGGACTATAGTGATATCATTAAGTGTTTCCACTAACATTATTCTTTCTTGCGTTATTTTTGTTTCATCGATGTTGAAAGTTCTGCAGATTAAATTAAAGAAAATGATAATTCAAACTGACAACATCATGAGGGATTTGAAACAGTTGACAAAGGAACATCAACGAGTCATTAGGTAAGAAAATTCATTCTATAAATTTTTCACGTTTACATGTGTAGGTGTGTTTATCAATAGTCTAAGGGAATGAGAAAATAAACACATGCCCATGTTTTGGCAAATTAAACTAAACTATATTTTCTCTGATTTACACTGCACTTCGTACAACTTCGCCGACACTTGGTGTATTGACAATAATATTAGTCTTTAAAGAAAAAGATAAGCGGAACGGCTTTCCGCGTTCCCAAGTCTTTTACATCTTTTTCGTCTAACTGACTAACTACTAACTAATACTTAATGGCCGTCATGACCTACTTTTAATCTTTCATCGGTACAAAAATTAGTCCCGAACTCCAAGAACCACCGCAAAGCGGCTTCCTTTTAATTTTGTTTCGCGTCCGTTAAAAGGAATAATGTAAACAAAGAAAGAAATATCATGCTGGCGAAAACTAAAATAAACGATATGATATTTTTTCTATTTTATCTACACATGTATAACATTATAATCTAAGAACATATTTGCAACGTACACCGTGTGCCAAATAAAACGATCCAGTATACAGTTTCGTACAAAAGTTTCTTGGACGCTCCTGAAAATTTAAAATATTATAATTTTGTTGTGCAGGGTATCCCAAAAGTTTCCCACTCGACATCAACTTTGTTATTTTGAATGGAACACCCAGTATATTTCGACATTTTTGCCATCTTTGTTTAAATTAAAGGTCACTTTCTTAAGAAATTCCTTTTCGAATTTTGCATAGTTTAGGCAGAAATTAAGTTTGTTTTTTTTTCATATTTTGATTGCCACATATAAAATTGTGTTGTGACGCTACTGATCCAGGTGTTGCATCGAAAATTCAACCACAGGCTAAGGAGATGATGCACTACTCAATTAGTTTGACAGATGCGCCTTATTTTATACAGAGTGTCCTAAATGTGTGGTGCCGTTTTGGCGAATTCAATTAATAAATTCTCAAAATTTTCAAACGGAGCATATATTTTTATTAAAATATCAATTCTGAGACAACAAGTAAGGTAAGTTCGTAATTTATCTTTTATTTAAATTTTACTTACTTGTTGAGATATTCGAGTTTAAAGATAACACCCGTATAAACTTTTGTTGAATTTAAAGATATAATACTCCAGATATGCGAAAAAAACTTATTGCTTACAATACAGGGTGTCCATTAGTAAGTGAAAATTGTGAAAAACTAGACTTTATTCTTACACGCTTTAACAGTTTGATTGAAAATACCTAATAACAAAAATAAATAATTAAACTTTATAGGCCAACTAAACAAATTTGAATAAATAAACCAATAAAATAAAAAGTTAGCTAAAAAGAGTTCATTAATTCGGTCCAGTTTAGTTAAAAATGTTCCTCTTAAAATGCTCGTTTCATGTGGCATCAAAATGAAGAAACATCAAAATATTTTTTGTATGTTTCTATTTAAAACGTTCATAGTTGTCAAGTTTTTTGTTAGTATATGTTTTGGTTACAATGACGCAATATTCTCCTCAGAAACGGCTATCATCATATCCAAGTTATTTTTTGTTATTTGTTTGTTTTTACCTTGTTTAGTTAGGCTATACACTTTAATTATTTATTTTTGTTATTAGGTATTTTTGAATCAAGCTAGATAATTAACTATTAAATGTTTCTTTAAATATGACTTCGTACGTTTTATGAAATCTGTTAAAGTGCGTAGTATAGAGTCGATTTTTTTTTTAATTTCCGCGTATTAATGGACACCCTGTATTGTTACCACTAGGCTTTATTCGTATATCTGGAGCCTTATATCTTTAAAAGAAGTAGTGTCTTATGTCTTTGCTATATAAAAAATACCTAATATTTAAATTTAAATTCAACAAGAATTTATACGGGTGTTATCTTAAACCTCCAATATCTAAAAAAAAAGTAAGTAAATTTTAAATTTAAGATAAAAGGCAACCTTGCCTTATTTTTTGTCCTATAAGTGAAATCTGAATAAAAATATAGAGAAAAACTTGAGATTTTGGTAAATGAATTCGCAAAAAATATGAAAAAGAACATATCTCAATTTTTGCCTAAACTATGCAAAATTCGAATAGGACTTTCTTAAGAAAATATCCTTTACTTTAACCAAGGAGTTCAAAAATGACCCTGTATCAACAAAATTATAATATTTTAAATCTTCGCTAGAGTCCAAGAAAATTTTGTACAAAACTTTTTTTCAAATCTATTATGCGTTTCCTATCGTATAGTGGATCGTTTTATTTGGCACACGGTGTACTTGTTAAGGCACATAATTCAGTTTTAACTTGACTTCTTCTCTGACAAAATATATTAATGCATACTGCACTGTAATTTTTTTACTAAACGATTTTGTGGGGGAGGGGCTGAGATCACCACCGTTAAGTTAGTAGGAACCATTACAGCAGCTTCTAAAATGTCTTCTTGGCCCCACAAGGAGATTTTTTGAAAAATTTCAATTTTTTACGAAAATCTAAATGGGATTTCGCAATATTACCTTGTAGAAGTACTTAAAATAATATTTTATATATTCCTTTATGGCAACGAATGTTAATAAAATTAGGATTATTTTTTTTAATAATGTCTAAACAAATATTAACCTGATTCTGTTGAAAATGCTATTTGGTGTTTTAATTTTGTTCCAATAGATTGAAACTATTAAGTCCAGTGCCGTGCATATATACAGTACGCTACAAGATATAATGGAACTCTCCACCTCGACGAATTATTGAACGAGTTAAAATGTGAGGTCTATTATCTATTAAATTAAATATTAAAGTTTCATAAAAGGAAATAGCTTACAATTATATGCCAGTTATATTCCCTACCATATTAAACTTTATTGCTGCTCACTTAAACATCAATAGCATATCATAACTAATTGATACAAATACTGTAAACGTTTAAAATATCGCCATTTCTTCTATATTATTTTCATTCATTCATTCTTGAATGTTTTGCTGGGTACAGCTCTAAGTATAGTTATTTGCTTCTTTGTAACCTATGGATTTTATTGCTGGCCGTATTGAAAACTCGAATTGGTTTTGTTGTCAACGAAAAAAGATGCAATATTTAAATATTTTAATAAGTACATTATAACTGATATGAAAATATGAAACTTTCACAGTCTGCATCTCGTAATCTGACAACCAGCAATAAGGCAAGTTTTACCTAAGAGTAATAAATTACGTCTACGTCCAGCTTCTGTATTTTCAGTTGGTTTAAAATCACCCCTTTTTTTTCAAAACTAATATTTTATTCATTCAATTTATTTACCATTAATAAAAGCATATTATATTTGACAGAATAGCGCAAAAATTTAACAAATTTATAAAGAAACTTCACTTTAAACAATATTTATTTAAATATAAAATCATTTTTAATTAATAATTTTACAACGCTTGATACAGGGTTTATGAATGTTTAGTTGTCGTTGAGATGTGTTTATAATTTTAGCTTTGTAGCAGATCTGAATGAATCAATCAAATATCTCATCTTGATAGAGTATACAACAATATCGCTAAATATAGCTTTAGTGACCCTTCGGTTTATTAAGGTAATGCTAAAAGCAATAAACATTGGTATTATTAAATTGAAAAAAACCTCAGTCATATTGCTAATTAATGTTTTCACTTGGTTTTCAGGAGAAATCGTACTTAATGAGAATTGGTAGATCGTTCTATTGTGGTTTTCTAGTTATATATATACTGGCACTGGGATGGAGTTCAAATGAAATTAAAATGCAGGTAACGTGCGTGCTACATTGCCCGTAACAAAATACTACTATATTTACTTTGCCGTACCCGAACGTGTCAAGTCATTAATATTTATTTATTTACAGAGTGTAGCAATTGGGGATGCGATTTATGAAAGCTCGTGGTACGAGCACAACAGAAAAGCTCAGGAGATGTTGCTTGTATTGATGATGCGCACTCAGAGACCTTTAACCATGACCAAAGGACCGTTTGATGAGATGACTCTCCAATCCTCTTTGATGGTAACACTACCAATAATTTGATAATCGAAAATAGCCAAGTAATATTAAATTAAATTAAATTAAAAACTTTAAACATTTCCATTTCTGTAGATGCAGACATTCATAACACAAAACACAACTCTTTCCATTGAATTGTATATTTTCATACTATATATTATACTATCCTTATAAAATTAATGCAATATGTTTAGTCATTAAAGTGTGCTTGCTCTGCAATACAGCAGAGAGAAAATTCAAGACCTAACTAAGAAACGACGACGACACCTTCATAGTCTGAAACCATGACGAAAGCGAATTGAATAATTTTTTTGGCGCACATTAATCATAACATGATAACATTCAATATAGTCTAGTTCTACTCAAGCGAAACATTAGACAGATCATGACATCAGTATATACACACTGGAAGTTACATTAGAACAATTTAAATCACTTCCTAATACCCAGATCTTGGAAACCCTGAGGTCACCTACATAAAAAAAGACCTGCTCAGCAACGGGTACTCAAATTAGCTCATTCGAAAAGTACAAGCAGATGTAAAGAAAAGAAAAGGAACAGGGCACTCACAAAGAAGATAATCAAATATTCCGCATCTCATACATCGGTGGATTGTTAGACAATCTTAGGCACATTGCCCCTCAGTACATGTTCAAAACTCTTTACAAATCTTACGATGCACTTCCACCAACAGTTTTTAAAAATACCACGACACCCTTTCATCAGAAGGGCATAAAAAACTACATATATGTATAAAGTACCGCCACAGAGAGGAAAATTACACAAAGAACAACACTAATACAAGAAAAATTTCAAGTTCAGTTTTGATTCAGGAGAACAAGGAAGCATTTGGCAAATCAATTGAAATAAACGGGTTATGGAAACTACTGCTTCAGTCACCAGCGACCAGCTATCAAACCTATGACACACAGAACTGATTCACACACCTGATGCAATTTTTGTAATTTACCATTATTCTCGTGAGAGTAACTAAACTAATATCTATTTAGATAGCTGATATAATAATCAATCTTTTAGATTTAGGTAGATGATATAGTACAAAATCTAAAGTTAGGTAAAATAGTACATTTGAACTTACATTAATAACTATAAAAAAATCAACTTTTTCATGGTTTCTAGGTATTGAAGGCCGCCTACACCTACGTTACCATAATGATCCAGAAACAAGTATGAACACCGGGGCAATACAACAATTTCTTTGTGTGTACATTTTTTGTATTATAATTTCATCAAATTAATCGCATCATCAAATCGATAAAGATTTTCAACTCACTCAATTTCCTTTATATTTATAGTTATTATTATTATTGTTATTATTATTATCATTATTATTATTATTATTATTATTATTATTATTTTATATAAAGAATGTTTGTTTTCTCTTACCTTTTTTAAAATATTACACCGAGTTTATCAAGGCCTTTTTTTTAATTCCTCCGAAAACTCTGGACTTATTTAGTACGCAATATTCTATATTTGCTCTTGCCGTTTCTGTCGATTTAAAGGCTTTTGTCGTATATCTATGACTAATTTTCTTGTAGATGGTACTTTGCTGAGCTGTGTTAATATTTTAAAAATAAACAAAAAAATATAGGATGATCAAAAATCAATATTAAAGAATTAACTGGAAAAATTGTAAAAAGGATTTCAAGAAAACTCTAATAAACTGATCTTGAGCATCACGATTTAACATACAAGAAATTTATAATGTAGTCCTTTGCGGATACCATCTTTCATGTCGATATCTCAAATAATGAGTGAGATTTGTTTAATTTTTGGTTCAGTATCAATACTTTGTGTCTGTGTTTTGAAGCATCCATTAATCTACTATTTCGGGAGAAAATATAAACTAAACTGATGTGTTTTTGATGATGTAATTGTTTCATATATTTAATTTAGTGAAATTTTGATGGATAGGTTGATGTTGAGGATCAAATTGAATTCCTGAAAGAATTCTCTACTATCGATGACAACACCGTTAACATTCAATTAAACTAGAAAAGTAAAATAAAACTTTTTACGAAACTTTTGCATTCCTCCTTCGTCGCTTTTTGCTGCGTCGAAAAGGCTGACGTTTCGGCAATCATACTGTTGGTTTCTTCAGAACTTGACTGAAACTGGCTCACATTTTACTATGTACCTGCTTATATATTGTTTGAGAGGGCCGCTAATGAGGGGCATAAACACCGTCTCGGATGACCGATTCCCAAATTGGTGACAGGTAGAGAGCTGAGTCGCGGTTAAGATTGTTAGGTTATTTATAGATTTCTATAGACTCTGGGATTTTTCGTTGATAGAAGAACTGCAGGGATTTTAGTTTTATCGAAAAATCCGAGAGTTTATAGAAATCTATAAACAACCTAACAATGTCAACCACGACTCACGTCTCTACCTGTCACCAATTTGGGAATTTTGGGAATACCTAAATTACAGTTTTGGATGATATTTTACTTTCGACAATCGATGAAATCGAATTTTTCGAAAGTATCTACTCTTATAAAAATCTTATGTCCGTTCTCCGTTCTCGTCTTTTGGTTTTTCCTGAATAGCTTTCGAACCGTTTCGACTGTTTTTGGACACGATAAGTGTCCGAAATTTGAAGCAATCGACTCCATATTTGGCACATATATGCAGCTTTGCCCCGTGACGGAACCTATTGAAAATAGGGGGGTGGGGGGATCTGCAAGTATCCTAAAAAAATAAAAAATCGCGTGTGCAAGAGTCCACAAAAACATTATTTTTCAAAATATATTTTTCAAAAACTCGGTTTTGAAAAATATATTTTGAACCCGCTAAGTATTGGGCTGTCTAAAGCTTGCATAAACGGGGTTAAAATTGCAGTCGTAGACGAATGTAAAAACTTGGGTATCATGTTTGATAATGAGCGCAGATTGCGTACACAGCTTTCCATAATTCTCTAAACGACTTATATTAATCTATAAAAGTAAAGATATTCTAGACATTAAAAAAAAAGTTTATGAAGCACTACTTTTGAATCACCTAAATTATTGTAATTTTGTCTGTGGAGCACGCTTAGATGACAAAATATAAATTACGAAAAATACAGAAGTCATACTTCACGATTTCAAGTGATTAAAGGTATTGAGCCTTGGATAATTACATTTTGCTTGTTTTCTTCTTCACAAACCACTTAAAACTGAATGTCCCTCATATTTGTTGTAACAACTGGCTTGTAGAAATCGCACTCATTTCCGTGGAAGCCACTTCAATTGTCAGTATGAAATACCTAAAATTAAGAAGTCCATGACAAAAAGCTGCTTCTCGTAAATATCTGTTAGACTACCTAATAAATATCGACAGAATGTATCTCATTGCGCTTTTAAATTTCATTTAAAAAAATACTCGGTTAAGTTAACAGCTCAGCTCACCTTCGCTGAGCTTAAAAGGTTTAATTTAATTATTTAAATAACAGTAGCAGAAAATGGCATAAGTTTAGATTTCTTAGAATAGTGAAATAACAAAAAATTTCCTTATTATTTATCTGTTTCCTAATACTCCATAAATAAATCAGACAATAGTCAACAGCCTACCTTATCACAATGAGAAAAGCAATTATGTAGCAATATACCGAGCAAAGCGGCTCTCTATGAATTTGCATTAAAAAAAATATTTGAATACCTTCGCTTTCATGAAACAAGTTGAAAAGCTATTTACTTACAAGGTATATTAAAATCTCTACTGTTTTTCTTTTTTTTTTTCTATATTCTAGTCAAGGTATCACTTGTAGCTTTTACGTGGTGCAGTTCCAATGTTAAATCAACTCACAGAAAATCGTTTACTTAATAACGGAAATTGTGGGGTTTCGGAAACAATTTTATACGCGTGTATGGGGCGGAAAGTCGATTTCTTCGGTTTCCTGATTACAGGGAAAATCTACTGCGGTTTTTACCTATAGGTACATACACCATAATTATGAAAATAATATTTTTATAAAAACAGTCAACAGAGTTGGCTTCGAACTAACCATAAACTTAAAGTAATAATGTTGATACCGTAGTTTTTTAGTAATTCGTGAAATTGGGTAACAATTTTTGGCTGGTTCGTAGCATAATTAAAGTAACTTTGGCCAACGTAACAAATAATTAATCGTCCAAATTAAATACATTTTATTAATAGTAGTTTTGATGCCGAAAAACGTGGGTTGTGATGAAGGGTGTGTAAAAATAAAAATTATTTTAATTTCTTTAATTTACAAATCAGTCGAAATTCTCCAATATTGTACTAATTATTTTGAATTCGGACCAATATCATACAAGATCGGTATGCGTAAATACTATTTTATAGAGGAATATTATTTGCTTTTCTATTTTTCTCACGCGAAGTGGCTTACATTCCTCAAAAAATGGCAAGTCCGGCCCCCACAGCTTTATTCGGAATGTAACTCTCATTTATGTATAAAAATACGTGCCAGTGTTTGTTTTCAATTCGCTATGACGAGCTATATTTCATTCCAATGAGAGAAATCTTTGAAAGAACACGGTTTTTAGTACACTTTGGACAAAAGAACCGACTAAAGCATATGTATCAACGTTTTGTCGACAGAATCCGATAAAGGGAAGCAAATATTTGGAGAAAAACAAATTCGCAGCTGTACAAATTGTTCGTTGGTTGATTTGGAGATCCGAATGGCTATCAATAGAAATATCTTAAACTTTCCCAAATGTATTATGATCATTTTTGGTGTATGGCGAAACCATTTAACGTCAAACACAATTGTTCAGAAATTCTACATTTTTTACTCCCTGTTTATTCACATTTATATGCTGATTTTCGTATCGTCCATGTTTACCTGGGTCGCTGTTGCCCTGACTGGAGTAAACAATTCAGCCGAAAAAAAGGACAAAATAGGTTTGAATATTACTTATTTAATCACCATATTCACTATCATGCTCAAGGTTGTGCTCTGCCAAACGAAGAATATTCGACGAACCATCGCGTTTGTGCAGGAAGAAGAGAAAAAGATCAACTCATCTGAGGACCTAGAAATATTAGATACTCATTTAGAACAAGTAAGATTTTGCACAAGTATCAACGTAATACTTTTTATTTGCCACGTGGTTTTATTCGTATTTGCGGTGGTTGAAAATATAGTGACCAGACTAAGCATAGAAAGGCATAATAAAGCACACAATGAGACGTTGATAAAGCCCGTCATATATGAATTATACTATCATAATATGGATCCGATAAAATATGAAACACTCTTTGTGGTGTTCGATGACATTGGCGGTACTATATTGATATCACTAAGCGTTTCCACTAATATTATTCTTTCTTGCGTTATTTTTGTTTCATCCATGTTGAAAGTTCTACAGACGAAGTTAAGAAAAATGATAGTTCAAACTGGCGATATTATGAGTGCATTGAAAAAGTTAGCAAAGGAACACCAGCAAGTCATTGGGTAAGAAAATTCATATTTTAAATTTGCTTTCCAGCTAATTAATGCCATAAGAATTAACATGTCTAATATAATATTTCAAAAATCTGCATTCGCTTTTACATAGATCACCCATTGTTGTGGTGTTTATTGTGGACAGTTAAATAAGTTAAAACTAAAGATTTAGGATATTTAAAGAAAATATTTTATATATTCCTTAATAATAATATTAAGATAATATTCTAAAATAAATCGACATAATATCGGCAGCTAAGGAAAGCCAATCAAGGTCAGAACCAAAATTAAAATGGAGTTAATTCTTTGTTGGTTTTTAGAATACCATAAACGAAAGAAAATTTTGCGAGATACAGGTCATAAATGTCTTGTCTTTCAAAAATTAAAAAATTGTTATAAAGGTAGATGACCGATTCCAATATGTAATGTATCGGAGGCTCTAGGTGTAGCCAATTAAATGAAGAAAAAAATCGTGTTTTTGTCAGTGAAAATATAAAAAGGTTATATAGATAAGCTTAATAAAAGAACTTTCTTGCTATAAAATGTCATATTTCGTAACCGTTTTTGAGATATTTTGAGTTTTAGATATCAACTGGGCTGAAATAGCTTTTCTGATACAATGGCTGCTATCCAAAAATAATATGTTTTAATATCACTTCTTGCAGATCTAAAACCTGTCCAGAAATATTAACCAATTAAATATCAAAATACGAAAACACATTATAATTAGATAATAAATATCCTTTACTGTAGACAATCAAAATATCCGCCATTTACTACAATATTATTTTGGATTAATTCTCTTCGATTCTTTTAGAAAAAATTCCAGCCAACTTAGCGAAGGAAAATGATTAAATTTCAATAATAAACCTGTTACCACCTAAATTGTTGCAATTATACCAATTTTTTATTTAAAAAAATCACAGGCTGCATCTCGTAAACTCGGAACATTTGTATAATTCAAGTTTGACTTTTTCGTCATTACCTGTAGCTTCTGTATTTTCAATTCGTTTCGAATACTGTATTCACAAAATATTTTTGTTTCAAAATTAAATTTAATATTTCATTCCAATACATTTTTTTAGATTTACTTATAACAAATTGCGCGTTATTTCAAACTCTAGTTTAAATTTTAGTCTATAATTTTGCTTCCTCACTACAATGTTTTATTTAGTGTGTAGATAAAGACATATTATCCTCCCGTCCATAAATCTCAAAAAATAATCATTTAATTTTCTATATCATGTGTCTATAATTTTAGGTTTGTAGAAGATTTGAATGAATCAGTTAAGTACCTCATCTTGATAGAGTATACAACTATATCGTTAAATATAGCCTTAGTGACCCTACGTTTTATTAAGGTATAGCTATAACAAATTAAAATTATAATTTATACCCTTGCGATAACTTACAAAGCGAAGTCATATTGCTGAGTCTTTTAACTTTTCTTTCAGGAGAAATCGTACTTAATGAGAATTGGAAGATCGTTCTATTGTGGTTTTCTAGTTATATATATACTGGCACTGGGATGGAGTTCAAATGAAATTAAAATGCAGGTAACTTGCGTGCTACATTGTCTTCAACAAAATACCACCCTATTTCATTAATGTTTATTTATTCATAGAGTGTAGCAATTGGCGATGCGATTTATGAAAGCTCGTGGTATGAGCACAACAAAAAAGCTCAGGAAATGTTGCTTGTAATGATGATGCGAACTCAGAGACCTTTAACCATGACCAAAGGACCGTTTGATGAGATGACTCTTCAATCTTCCTTAATGGTAATACCACCAATAATGTGATAATAAAAACTCGGTATTTGAGACTCGAATGAACAGTTTCAAATAAAGAATATTTCAACTAACCTTTCGAATGAACAGTTTCGATTAAAAAATATTTCTATCTAGACATTTATATCAACTTGATGTTCATTTAATTTTTGAAAGAAACTTCCACATGCTCCTGTAATACTTTTTACAGAGTTTCTGGATTCCTCCTGCGTCGGTTTTTGCTGAGTCAGTTTCAGTCAAGCTCTGAAGAAGCCAACAGGATGATTGGCGAAACGTTAGCAAGTTCGACAAAAACCGACGCAGGAAGAATCCAGAAGTTTTGTGAAAAGTATTGATGATTTGTTGATATTTGAAAGATTTTTAGATCTCTTCAGTTTTTCAATAGGTAAACTTTTAGAATAATAATGCCTGATCTTTTTAAATGTATATGTGACTGCGTTATATCCAGCGGAATAAAATTTGATGATTTAGGCGGCCAGTTGACTTTGGCAATATTGATTCGAAGTCCAAACAAGCAGTTTCAACAACTCGTTACCTACATGCTTTAAACAAACAAAAACCATCAATTTATGAATATGATTTCAAATATAATGACTTTTTTTGGGATTTCGACAAAAAACTAATATCTGTTTAAATGTCTGATATTATATTAATGATTAAAGTGCTAAGTAAATGTGGTGTAAGTTCTAAATTAGAGAAAATAGCAGGGTCAAACTAATATTAAGAAGTTTAAGTACAGTAAAAAAATCACATGTTTTTAGTTTTTCAGGTATTGAAGGCAGCCTACACCTATGTTACCATAATGACTCAGAAACAAGTATGAGCACCGGAGTAATATAAAATTCTCACTTTGTGTACATTTTTTTGTTGTAATATAATGTGTTTATTTTAGTAAGTAAATCACATCAAACTAATGAAAATTTTCAAGGCTATTAATTTCCTCTAATCGCAAAAATCTAGCACACTAAGCTGGGAAGCTGCTGTGAGAATGTCAAAATATATAGTCGCACAAATGCTACGCCATATTTAATTAAATATATCTAATCATGACAAGGAGGTACAAGGTGGTCTAATTGTGTAAGTCTGTAATGCTCTTTACGTAAAATTGAACTAATATGGTTTGATGTCCTTGCTTTGATGGCTTTGAGCCTCCATAAGAGACATGATGATATTGACGACTGGTGCAAGCAATAAAACTCAATCACCTCCGAACAATTAAGAGTAAGGTTAGAGGCTGTTTATTTCGATTCAGGTATGGTTCGAAATATTCAGACGAAAGGTTAGCCTTTGAATTTTAATTAATTAAAATCTTTTACGGAAGCAGATGTTTTTAAAAGTAAATCGATTTATCTTTGTTAAACAAAAAAAAACGGTGATTGCAATTAAGAGTTACGAGAAATCCTGGTGAGCAAAATTCAGAATTTAAGAGCCTATTAAATTTGTGTAGTTCTTTTAGTTTCAGGATGTGAAACTTCCAGTTTTAAGTATCTCCCACCAAAGCAATAACATATCTCTTTATTTCTGGGATTGCATAGCCTGCAGAGTAGTAGCTTTTGTAATTGTAAAATTGTAATTCTTTTAATTATGAATAATAGCTAATTTTGGTATCCATTATCCGCCGTGGAGCTGAAATGCTCACAGAAATTTAACTGGTCTGAAGGTGGGTGAAGGATTGGTGTGAATTTTTCCTCTAAGGAAATATTAGCTGCGCTACTAAGAATTCCTATTGCTCCTATTGCATCATGAGTGTGGAGTATGAATAAGTCGCTTTTATTATCTAAAGTAGAGTCTAAAGTTCATTTATTTGAACTCTTGGATAAAATTACCGTTGAAAATGATTTCAGTGTCATGTCGCCAAAAGTAAGTATAAGTGGTTTCTGCGTTCTCATTATCATTATTTCGTATATTATGTCCGGAAGCATTACAGCATTACATAACATAAATCATAAATGATTTAAGTAGTCTAGAAACAAAATAAAATCTATAAGAGGGCTTCTTAAACTGTGGGTCGCGACCCCCTGGGGGGTCGCGAGACTACTGAAAGGGGGTCGCAAAGATCTGATACTTTTTCAATCATTATAAATAAAATTTTAAAATTAGTATACACACTACGTACAAATATAAATACAAATAAAAATCATACAAAATACTATTGTAGTTTTATTATAACTATTTTTTGAAAAAAGTGGTAATGCAAAACTGTTATGTAGGGCCTATAAATGAAAATATGGAAGTAGCATTTAAAATAATAAATACAACGCGCTCCTCGATTTTCAACTGAACGTTCGACATTGATGTCTGGCCGCCGGCGTCAGTGTTTGCAAGATAACTTAGTGATTATAAGTACCCAGGCGCCGCGTCACCTTACAGCTTACACATACAATACGGAAGCATAATCAAGCTAGGCTAGGCGAATCGGCATATTATTTTTATAAAAGAATAATAAAAAAAAAATAAATGAAAGATTCTTTTTCGGCGTCTTTGTGATACGGTGCCTTTGTGCGCTGCACACTTTGAACACGCCATGCGTCGGGGTTGATCTGATCGTAATTTGTTGTCATTGCACTGGTAAAGATTCGAGTGTAGTTATTTTTCTGTTTGTACTTCAGTTTGGACTCAGCTTTGTCTTCGTAGTGACATGTGTGTATTTACTGTGTAATTTTCAGTTGGTGTTTTTAATTATTACGTTAAAGTTCAACTACATTTTGTTTAATTATTTATTATTATTTAACCACCATAGATAAATGCCACGCCGTCACAACCAAGTTGCAGTGCTTCAAATCCGACTTCTAGCAAAACAAAAAAAAAGAAAATATGACGAATCATATTTGCAGTATGGCTTCACATGCTCTTCTCACAACAATGAAGAACAACCAGTGTGCTTAATTTGCAAAGAAGTTTTGGCTGCAGAAAGCATGAAACCGTCAAAACTGCAACGACATTTGAATACTAAACATGCAACGTTATCAAAAAAGCCAACAGAATATTTTGAGCGTCTTTTGCAAACATCAAATAAAGGAAAGAACACTTTGGAGAAGTATGTTACTTTGAATGATAAATATCTATTGGCATCGTATGAAGTTTCGTATTTGATAGCAAAAACGAAAAATCCTTTTACTATTGGAGAGCAACTTTTACTACCTGCAGCTATAAGAATGTCTGAAATTGTTCATGGAAAATAGTATGCTGCTGAAATTAGTAAAATTCCATTATCAAATGACACTGTGTCCAAAAGAATTTCGGACAATAGCAATGATCAATTTCAACAGCTTCTTATGAGGCTTAAAGACAGCTCAAAGTTTGCAATACAACTGGACGAGTCGACAGACATTTCAAAAATGGCACAGTTGTTACTTTTTGTAAGATATATTTATGAGGGAAGCATTCATGAAGATATACTGTTTTGTCGTCCTCTGGAAGGTCATACTCGTGGAAAAGATATATATAAAAAAGTAAATGAGTTTTTTGAAAAAGAAGGATTAAATTGGAAAAATTGTGTTGGTGTGTGCACGGACGGTGCTGCAGCAATGACCGGGCAAGATTTTGGTTTCAGCATTTGTTAAAGCTGGAAATGATCATATTACATTTACACATTGTATGATTCACCGAGAGGCACTTGTTAAAAAAATTGCACCAGAATTAAAGACTGTGTTTTTTGATGCAGTCAAAATCATTAACTTTATTAAAAGTCGAGCACTTAATAGTCGATTGTTTAAAAATTTGTGCATTGATATGGATTCGGATTATACAAGTTTATTGCTACATGCTGAAGTTAGGTGGCTATCAAGAGGTCGAAGTTTGAAACGATTATTAACTTTAAAATATGAAGTTGTCATATTTCTAACAGAGCAAAATTCTAATTTGGCCGATTATTTTCACGATAATTTACGGCTTCTCAAGCTATGCTATTTGGCAGATATTTTTGATAAAATCAATGATATGAATTTATCAATGCAGGGAGTCTGCGTTAATATGTTTATGTTAAAAAACAAACTTAAGGCCTTTGTTAAAAAAATTCTTATATGGAAGAACAGAGTGGAAAGTGGATCGCTCGAAATGTTTCCATTTACTGACGAGTATATAATTAGTAACAATATTTCAAAAAAAAGATACTCCTATAACAAAAATTATAGTTAATCATTTGAAGGATATGGAAGTTTACATGCATAGGTATTTTCCCAATGATATCAATACACAACAATGGATTTGCAATCCACTTTCAATTGAAATGGAAGAAATTAATTTTTTAAACTTAAAAGCACAAGAAGAATTTGCCGAATTAACAAGTGATACTACCTTGCGACTCAGATTTTCTCAAGTGCCTGTGCATGAATTTTGGATAGAAATCAAATCAGAATATCCCCTACTATCGGAAATGGCAATGAACAAATTACTGCCATTTTGTACAACATATTTATGTGAATCAGCCTTTTCCACATTAATTTACATAAAATCAAAATACCGTTCAACTTTAATAAACGTTGAAAACTTATTACGATCTGCACTAACTCAAATTGAGCCTAGATTTAATTATTTGTGTAAAAATAAACAATCACATCCATCACATTAATATTGTTTGATGTTAATAATATGTTTTTATTAAAAAAATTGTTACAAAAGTTTATTTTTTCTATTGAATAAATATATATAGTTTTATGTCATTCAATTTATTGTTTTTCATTACGACCGATATCCCGTCAACGTTTCCAATTATATATATATATATATATATATATATATATATATATATATATATATATATATATATATATATATATATATATATATATATATATATATATATATATATATATATATATATATATAATTGGAATATATATATATATATATATATATATATATATATATATATATATATATATATATATATATATATATATATATATATATATATATATATATATATATATATATATATATATATAGTGTGTGTGTGTGTGTTAAATGAATGGGTACGTATTCTTTAATCCTTATTTTATTTACATTGTAAAATAGTACGATATTACATCTACATCTACGGTTAATATATATTTCATTATATGGAGGAGGGGGTCGTTTAAAATTTCCTAAGCTTGAAGGGGGTCGCTATATAAAAAAGTTTAAGAAGCCCTGATCTATAAAATATTCTGTGTGGCAAACCAATTTTAGAACGAAGGTTTTAAGAAATTTCGAATAGCAAATCAAAATTTTCAAATTCTAATATAATCCTAATTTGAAGGGTATTATTGAGCCCTATAACGGTTAGTAAAAGTCCTTTCAAAATCAAAGTCATTTGGGTTAACTTTGTTTTTAGGTAAGTTCTATCTAGTTTTTCTGCTCAATATTTATTCACCTCGGCATGAGGCAACCATATCCTAAGATCGTAGCAATTTTTTCTGCGCTTCTTGGCTTTATGAAGTTTTTTAGTCATATTATATATCACACAGTTTTTTAATTACTACAGAAAAATAAGGTACGCGGAACCAACGTTAGTAATAAGTGAAGTAAAAAGAAAATTCTTTAACTGACTCTTGTTTCAACTACTTTCATTACCATACATCAATATCATGCTCTGCTCTGAAAAAGCGCTTTTGAAGGAAGATATACTCACCTCCAAAAAAAACACGTAGATAGTCAAACATGTACATTAGCCTGCTGCTGTACTGCGTTCTACAAAACCCTCTGCCCAAAATTTGGGCGATAGTTAGACATTAGTTATCATCAGAGTCAAGAAAATAAATTATGTATACCTTGATATATATTGTTAGTATTATAGCCGAATGAAAGTAGTATGTATTCAGTGAGCAAGGAAATTTTGTCATTTAGGTCCTTTACAAGTCTAAAATAAGTAAAAGTATAATAAATTTATGACTAATTATTTGTGCTTGTAGGGGAATATTTTTTAGTTTAGCATGCAAATCGCAAATCGGAGAGTATAAATCGCATAATTTATTAAATTAGTCTCCGTTTAATCGCAAAAACATGCCTTATAGCCACTACATTATTGTTATTGTTCAATGGATGAAAGTCTCTCTTCTGTTTTGAAAACTTTTTCTTCATATCAGTTTATAAACATGTGAAAATAAGAATTGTGTGACTGGCGGATAATCAAGATTACTTACCACACACGAAGTAATATAGACTACGCAGCTGCCATCAATAGCGTAATAACAAAGACAATAGAATCACCTTGCCATTGCGACTTACTGACATGATTTCACAAAAATTTCATATAACGTAGGTCGAAAAGTGGCTGTTTTCAAGATACAGGGTGTTACAATTTTCTAAAAAAATTGTTTTTCCTTTTATAACTTTTATATCACTTTCGATATTTTTATCAAATTTGGTGTACATCTTTTAATTATTCAGAGGTGGTTTTTGACACAAAAGCACTATTTTTATTTTTACAAGTGTGTTACAAGGTTTTTGGACTGAATATTTTTAAAGAAAAAAATGACGCGCCACTGCTTTTTCTGTAAACAGAAATAATTTTTAAAATCCCCATTCAATTTGGAGCAAATTTGGTACATGAACTTTCTTTCGCAGAAGCACGGTTTTCGCTAAAAAAATAAATAAAGACAAAAAATTAACTACTGAGAGGAACAGAAAAAAATAAATTATAGCAACTGCTGGAAATGACCTCCCTCGACTTCGATACATTCGTTTGTACGCCTTATTAGGGACTGGCGAACCCTTTGTAAAATTCCATGGGTGTTCCTAATAACTGTACAAAAGTCTTCTATCTAATTTGTTAGATCTTCCTCACTTTTACTGGTGTTGTGTACACTAATGTTTTTAAGTGTCACCTGAGAAAGGAATCTATTGGATTTAAATCAGGTGACCTGGGTGACCAACAGTGTGGTCCAGCACGCCCAATCCAGCGATCAGTATAATTTTCAACTAATTAGTGACGTGCTACTAAACTGAAGTGCAGTGGAGCTCCGTCATGCATAACCCACTTAGAACGTCTTTGCTCTAGCGGGGCATCATCCAAAAGATCAGGTAATACATGTTCAATAAAGTGTCTGTACTGCTCACCAGTAAGTCTGCCACGCAGAAAGTGAGGAAATCTCCTATAACTCCAATCCAAACATTTACCGAAAATAGCTCTTGGAAATGGTTTTCAATTACGGCTTGAGGATTATTACCAGCCCACACATGATTATGGAAGTTTATTGTTGAGTTACGGGAAAAACATGCCTCGTCGATAAACAACACTTATGATAAACACGTTGGATTTTGCACTAACTTATTTTGTGTAAATCTACACAAAGCCACTCTTAGCGGAAAACCCCTTGGCAAAAGGGCTTGGACTCTTTGCATAAGATAAGGGTAAAGTTGTTGATCTTTTAAAATTTGCCATACTAATAAAACTATCCGTTTCACCAAGTGTGGAGTGAATATTAACAAAAAATTGTCTGTTCATGAACCAAATTTGCTCCAAATTGGAGATTTAAAAAATATTTCTTTTATAAAAAATAGTGACGTGCCATTTTTTTCTTTAAAAATATTAATTTCACACCCCGTACGGATGCCACTGGTAAAAATAAAAATAAAGCTTTTGTGTCAAAAACCGCCTCTCAATAATAATAAAGTTATAAAAGGAAAAACAATTTTTTTAGAAAATTTTAACATCTTGTATCTTGAAAAATATGCATTTTTGGACCTGTCTTTATATGAATTTTTCGTCTTAAAATCACGCAAGGGATCGTTTCTTAAAGTTTGGCAGCGTACTTTTTTAACACCCTGTATATTCTGCAGTCTTTGTATTATAAGATTTCACAATTTTCGAAGACCAAACTTACTCCACCGCCACGGGCCTGTATTTCATTGCTGATTGCTGCCAGCTCCATTGAAATTAATAAGAATAAAAGCAAAAGCAAGAGTCAAAAAGGATGTCGAAAAAAAAAACAGTGAAATCTAAAAATCATGGTATTATTTATTTGCTTGTTGTTTCACTAGAATGTAAAAAATAATAGCGGATTGAAAAAAAATCCGAACTAGTTTTCAATAGCTTCAATGGGAAAGTGAAATTTGTGCAAATATTTGGTTATTTCAAAATTTCGTTTATAGCTTCTATACATTACCTGATACAGCCGTAGTGTTCTTCGGCAAGTTGTTTTATGGCCTATTTTGTATCATTATAGTGATACAAAAAACTTTTAATTTTAAATTGTAGAATTGATCATTAGTAGTGGAATAAAATATCACTCTCAACTGTATAATGATCCAAGTTACTAATAAGCAAAATTCATTAACATTAACAGTGCTGGAGATGTCACTTAAGTTATCTGAATTAGCCAGGGTGATAGAGTTTTTAATAACCATGGAAGTTAAAACTAGTGCACGAAGGCTTGGAATAGAAATGGTAGAACTTTCTCATTTTCAATCCGGCCTAAATCAATTTTGGGAAACTTAATAATCCTTAATTCCTTGACTTATATGACATCTCGGAGATCTCTGTCTGAAACAAAAGTTCTTTAAGTAGTTAAAAGAAACGAAGGGAATTGTAGACTATACTATTGTACTGTACTGTATTGCAAGTGTACTAATACATACCATAATGTTTATGTCCTTTTCTAGTTAGTCTAATTGCTTTCTTAAATCGTCGTCCACCCCAACCTCCTGTTTCAGTTGTTTTTCAGTACACGCTAGAAAATTTAAAATAATTCAGGCAAAATGCCAGTGGGGCGCAGATCCTTCAGTTCCCCTGGTGGACTAGTTTATATTACTGGAATAAAATATAACCTCTTCCAACACTCAGGAAAAGCGGAAGTCTCACTTTAAAAATTCACTCCAGTTTTTTTAGTCCAGTCAGAGCAATTGTGCAGTTACGTCTTCATTACTGGATGTCGCAAATTGATACAGGCATTTTGTTTGTCAGTCTTGAAATCCGCATGTAGAAATGTAGCTAAGACATACGGATAATTTTTGATTACGTCATTTGTACGTGACGTAACTGCTCGGACTGGAGTGTAAATGTTACTACTGGTATAATTGTAGGACAACAGCGGAGGAGCATCTGAATACTAATTTTGTCAGTACAAATACCATTTGATTCTATAGAAAAAAGAGCTGACGTAATTTCCTCTAAGGTAGCGAGTTTGAAATTAAATTCTGAAATGTTTTGATTTTTATTAGAAGAATAAAACTCAAATGTTGTACTTCGGTGGATGCGCTGGTTTAGCGGGTTATCTGTGATTTCTTTATAACCCCGATTTTTAAAAACGTTGCATTGGGGATTTCAAATTCGACGATACAGGGTTAATCCAGAAACATCAGTAAATTTTTAAATAACTTTATAGCTACCATATAAAACATCTAAATTATTATCAATTTCAAGGAAGGATCGCTTTGGATCTACTTTGAAGCAGTGTATAAACGACAATCTCAAATATGTTATACGGAAAATCAACAAATGACAGTGTATTCTCTGGATACACGTTTTGGAAGTCCTATTTTCAAGGCACTTAATTTCTTTTAATCGTAAAAATATCTTTCCCAACAAATACGAAAACTCAAGGAATTATTCCTTGTTTAAAATAAATTGTAATTTGTTATATAAACGTTAGCCCAAAATTAAAAAATTAATTAAAAATTAATGAAATTTAACCAAAATAATATTTATTTATTTATCTTATAAAGGAAAATGGATAGAACAATCAAATATTATGGAAGTATTGTTATTGCACAAACACACTTTCTGTATATTTTTGTATTTTTTGTAAAAAAAATATTTTATATTTTATGTAGAAACTTTTGCTTTCTGCAATTTTTTCATAACGCTTATCATTTTTACATAAACCCAGAGCAATGCATAGCAAGATAAAAAAACTAATTAGCTACTTGCACTTCATAAGGCTTTTCTTATTACTAGCTTATTTGACTTTATTCAGTTAGTTTCAATACAATATACGAATAATTTAATTTTGCAATAGTAATTGTTTTAATTCGTTCCTTGTGTGTGCAGAAAGTGTGTCTTTTAACGGCTATTTAAGTTAAAAAATAAAAATATATTATAGCATTCCTAAGTTTAAGCTTAAGTTTTTCGGATTTGCATAAACCTGCATAGACACACAAGTGTTGCGCCATATTTAATTAATTATCACTACTCCGGACCACTAGGTAGCGGCTAGCCGAAATTATGTGAAATTTATTTATACGAACCAGTTCTCGAGTAACTTCGAACATTTAAGAATAAGCATAGAGATCATTAATTTTCATGATATGTTGTTCGAATGATTCAGAAGAATGGGTAGTCCTAGATTAATGCATCATAATTAACGGGTTTCCGATCCAGGAAAGTATTACGAACTAAAGATAAAAATATGAATCAATATCAATATGTTAGCCAGGTTATTTAATCTCGCACCTTTTTTGCAGAACATGGCGATTTCAGATACGAGCTCTTGGTGAGGAAAATGAAGAGGTTAAGCGCGCATATTAGGTTTTTTAGGACTTTCACTTTCAGGATGTGAAACCTCTATTTTGAGATACCTCTCACCGCTGCACTCTCATCCACGAGGCACATTTTGTACCGTGCGTTTAGTTTATCTTGATAACAGTTTAATTAGAGATATCAAGGTAATCAAAAAAAAACAAAATGTAGGGTAAGCTTTGGTTAGTTTTTTTCCAAGTGACGTATAAAACAAAACACTATCAATTTTCTGTCATATAAGCCTACATCATAATTTTTAAAAGTTAACATCCTGTATATTATAAATGTGTTTAATAGGATATCTTATTCCGATTACAACGATTAACACATTTTATATTTTAGTCCATTCATTTTTGACAAATTGGCAAAAATAGAAAATTTTTATATAATATCAACCTCTGGGATATTCAATGTTCATTTTTTTGTAACTTGCACAACAATGTGAGGAGGGGCACCGTCTTACTGCCGTATAATCAGCGCTAATATATCTAGGGATAAATCTTCTAAATATTATTCTATTTGGTGCTCAAAGAGTTGCAAATAATTATCTCCAGTTAACTTTTGATCTATAACTATCGTACCCAAAATATCCTCATCTATGACACCACGCCATACATTAATTGATTGGAACTCCTGGGTTTTTGTTTCGCGTATTTGTCTAGGATTATCTATAGACCAATATCGCGTATTTTGACTGTTACAACCCTTTCTCGTAGTGAACGAACTTTTATCATTCTATAAAATATGTATATTCTTTTAAAACTGCGTGGATAGATCCCCGAGAAATACCTGTCTCTTATACTCTAGTAATTGAAGAAACTGGATGGGCTTCATAGAATCCTGATATGTTTGCCTTATGTTCTTCATTTAAAACATTATGATTCCCTAATACCTTTTTAGCATTTAATACGTTATCGTTTTCTGCAAATTTCTTTGCCAAACTTGGAAATATCTGATATATGTTTTGAAGGAGCTCGGCGTTCTGTAGAAAGCGTAATATACTCACGATGAGCTGTGGTTGCACTTTTATTATTCAGAAAGTATACTTGAAGGATATCACTCCTTTCACGCATGCTAAATTCGCGAAAAACCACTTTAACAATTATGACTTGGACAATAATTCCACCATCAACCTTGTTTATTAATATGTCAAACATAAACATATTTTTATTTGTCAGTGCACTCCTTGAGATTATATAAAAAATTCCTATTTTTGAAGATTTGTCAAAATCGAGTGTACCAAAATAATAGGTGTGGTACATCATTGTAATCGGAATAAGATATTCTATTAAACACATATATAATATACAGGGTGTTCCACTTAAAAAAATATGAAGTAGGTTTATATGTCACAAAATTGATAGTGTTTTGTTTTATACGTCACTTTTTTGGAAAAAAGTTGGCTTCTAACCCTACTTTTTTTTGTTTACCTTGATATCTCTAAAAACAAAAAAGTTATAGCCAACTGAATTGTTTTTAAGTTAAGATAAGATAAGTTATTGTTGACAAGTCATTCAAAAGTAAAGCAATTACATATCTATTTATTTCGTGGTTTACATTGCATCCGAAAAACGAGTCGTCTATAATCAGATGACTTAACTATGCAACAATAACCAATCTAAACACTATCAACCATTTCAAGATTTGTTGGGTAAAATTGTATTGTAAGATCACTGGTCTGCTACTAAACATCGCTAATTGTGCCTATTGTTCCTATTGCATCATAAGAGTGGCATAAGAATAAGTCGCTTTCATTATCTAAAACACACTTTGAAGTTTATTTATTTATACTCTTGGATAATATTACCGTTAAAAATGAGTTGAGTGTCATTTCGCCAAAAGAACCAATAGTGAGTATGAGTGGTTTCTGCGTTCTCATTATCATTATAGTCATTATTTTTGCGATTTCCGAATTTTTTTCAAACCATGGACTTTCGTATATTGCATCTGAAAGTGCTAGACTCTGCAAGTGCAAAATTATGAACATAAGTCATAAATTATTTAAGTTGTCTAGAAATTAAAAAAATATATTTAAAATATCCTGGGCGGCAGACCAAATTGGGAACAAATGTTTTAACCAATTTCGGATCTCAAATCAAAATTTCGATATTCTAATAAACAAATAATTTGACGGGAGTCTTAGAGCTCGATAATGACTGGTAAAAGTTCTTCCACAGCCAAAATCAGGTGGGTTATTTTTTTTTGTTGGTGACGTTGCATCTAATATTAACTAACTGACGATATCTTAATATCGTAGCTACTTTTTCTAAGTTCCTTGTTAGTTTTAGTCGTATTATATACCACACAGTTTTTTAAGAATTACAGAAAACTGAACTTTTGCGCTATAAGTATCTCCAACTGTGAGATAATAAGCAAATTCTTCAGTTGATGTTTGTTAAAACAACTTCCATTAATATATATATATATATATATATATATATATATATATATATATATATATATATATATATATATATATATATATATATATATATACAAATTTTTAAAGGAAGATATACTCCCCTCCATTTTAATTCCACTAGCGCTCCATCCCAAGAAGAACACGTAGATAGTCAAACCTACACAATAGCCGGCTGTTGTGCCGCGTTCTGCAAAACGTTCAGCCTAAAATTGATGTTCATTATTTAACTACATGCTGAGATTTAAATGGTTTGTTAGTCGATTACTGATATTCATAGTCAACAAAATAAATCATTGTTACCCTTATATATAGCATTAGTATTATAGCCATATTGAAGGAAAGGAGTATGTATTCAACCAGCAAGGGAATTTTGAGTACGTCATTTAGGTTCTTCACAAGTCTAAAACAAATAAAAATATAAGTAATTGCACGTGCAAAGAAAATTTGTGCTGGAATTTTTTTTAAAGTATGCAGTTACTTTCAAATCGTATTATACAAAGTGTTATTGATATAATTTAAAGCATTGCTACGGTATTGTTAATGTGTGTAATAATATTATTGAGTTATTTTTCGCCATGGTTCCTGAAGGATGAAATTCCTCACAAACCTCAGCCAGGTCTTCGGTTTTCTCTGTTCTGTTGTGGTTACTTTTTCTTTATACCAGTTTATAAACATGTTGGCGATGACTATACAAAACGGTAACCCCAGTACACTTGCTCAAAGAGAATAGTGTCGTCTATTTTCAAACAAGAATTGTGTGAACAATGTCATGACTTGAACAATGACTATTAGGGCGGAAGAGATTACATGAAACCAAAGCAAGAAACAAAAAGGATGTGGAAGTATAAAAATGGTAAAATTTAAAATTCTTAATGGGTTAACACTTATTCTTTGGTTTTTTATTATTTATTTGTTTGTCAATAACTGCTTCAATAGGTAAGTGCAATTTGAACAAATATGTGGTTATTTGAAAATTTCGTTTATTAAGTCAATACATTACCTGATACAGTTATAGTGTTCTTCGACAATTTTTTTTATGGTCCATTTTGTATCATTACTTGGATACACAAAGTTTTTGATTTTAACTTGTAGAATCTTGATCATAATTATCACAAAACTGATACAACCCAATATCAAAGCTTCGGCCGAAAGACCCATAATAACCGCCACTATAGCAGAGAAATCATTTACTATTAAGGCGAACAGTTGGTACTTATCCACGTTCATTTTCCAGTAATACAAATCATAAATAAAGGGCTTTTGTAAAGTCGCGTTATTTTTCCTGTTGTACTGCTCTATTAAGATGCTTTGTACAGTGTTATCGTAAAATGAAGCCAAATACAAAGTCGTCGCACAAGCACAAAGAGTGACATTTGCTTTGCTACAATATCGACTTTCTTGCCAATAGCAGCTTAGATAATTTGCGTCATCTAATTGCAATAAATGTTGTTCTGCTTCCAAGATGTAACTAATGATCTTCCTCATTTTAGTAGTGGAATAAAATATCACTCTCAGCTGTATAATGATCCAGGTCACTAAACAAGCCAAATTCATTAGCACTTTGCTGGAAATGTCTCTCATGCTCTCTGAATTGGTCAGAAGAATAAAGTTTTTAATAGCCATTGAAGTTAAAACCAGTGCATAAAGGCTTTTAATAAAAATCGAATAGAAATGATAGAATTTTCGCAACATCTCATTTTCAATCAATTCTTTCGGCCAAAATCCGACCATTGTCATCATAAATTTTGGGAAACTTAGTAGTCCTTGCTTCCTTGAGTTATATGACATTTCGGGGACATCTGTCTGAAACAAAAGTTGTGGATTCTTTAAGTAGTTAAAAGAAACGAAGAGAATTACAGATTATTGCAATTGTATTTTACTGTATTGTAAATGCACTATGCCCTATTATATACCTATTCTCGGCACCATAATGTTTATCTTTACTTATTTTATATAATTTACACACGTTATCACCTTTTTATTTGCAATTATAGTGAAAAACTATTTAGGTTTCTTCTGTTGGTCAGCGTAATGATGAATAATTCATAAACACTACACACAGATTATGGGAATTTCGTCAATAAAAGTTTCCTTTTCATTATAATCTTAATTGCAAACCGCGAATAAATACAATTATTCTCGATTAAGGCAAAAAAAACAAATACGAATATTTGAAATTCCAACTAGCTGAATGATGTCTTATTTTTTCATCGGTTTCGTATGGTTTCTACCACCAAAAAAAATGTTACTTGTACATTAACTTTGTGTAATTGTACCTCCAACAAAAACCATAAAGGCACTTTCCCCAAAGCTTGCGGAACTTATTTTTTTATACTTAATGCTTTTGGATCTATTCATATGACTCGATATTCTGAAAATGCAAACAAAGAAAATGCTAGCTTATAACCTTTCTGCATAAGAGCATTACTTATTTATATTGATTATACAGGTCCGGATATTACTTACTTGGCATTCAATTCTTGTGCGGTGGAACTAAGATTACATTGAAGTCAAGAAAGGGGACTGACTTATTACAAACTATTCTTTTCCTATCTATCCTTCTGAACTGAATACGCACGAGTTCAAGTGGCCCTGCCAAAAAAACAACGAAATGACTTAAACAATCACAAAACTGAAATGTTTAATAAACACATTTTGTAGTAAGAGTGTTTAAGTAACTGTAATAAAATTATCTCAACACTCTAAAAGCTTATGTTATACTAATAGTAGAAAAGGAACAATTTTTTTCATTTTTCATGTTTTTCTAAAAACAGTGTATTGGAAACTGTAAATCCGCTCCTGTTCTCCTGATGAAGGGTTCTTTAGCGACGGCGATATTTCGTTTCCCATATATAATTTTCTTAAATATGTAATGCATGATTACACACTAGAGTTTATCAAAGGCAAAGAAATTTATTTATTATTTATTAAAACGCAAGGGGATGACAAAAACAATACGCCTTCGCTAAGCGTGCGCATAATATAATAAATCCAACTTAAATGTGGAATACTACGCACTGTTGATCGGATAGAATAAGAATTGTCTTGATTCCTTTGTGTTTAAGATAGTAGGTAAGTATTCATAATATTAATAGCTATTCATTCATATTTATCCCGGGTAACACAGAAACTGGGAAAATCTATAGCTTTTAAACGGCTTGAGATGGCGATTTGAAATTTGGTAGGGTTAATATAAGCTGAATGTCCAATAGCTGCACTTCCGGTTTGGCCGGAGACGGCAGTAACTTTCAATAAAATTTCTATTCTTTTTGCATTGTTGGATTCAAGAGATCATTCTACGTAGGATACATTGAAGGTGTTTTGTTATGGTGAAAAGTTGATATACTTTTGGAATGCAGGGATATAGTCATAAACTAACGTATTGATGGTATTGTATGTACACGTGCGTCATAAGCTACTGGAGTTTTGTATTTATTGCGTATTTTGTATTTTTTTAATAACCTATTTATTTTAAGATGAAACATTCATAGAATAGATTGTTTTCAAAACATCCTCCTTCTTCTATACTACACTCCCTTTCTAACATTTCTGGAGCTATACTATCAAATACAGCCGTTATTCTCCGCTGTAATTCTTGTAGGTCGACCACTGGAGTTACATAAACACTGTCTTTCACTTACCCCCAAACAAAAAAATCTAACGCTGTCAAGTCCGGTGACCGTGGAGGCCAATTGATTGGACCGTTTGTTGAGATTACGTAGGTGCTCAGTAACATCTGCTGAAAATATATATTTAATGTCACGGCAAGAGATACATCATCTAGAGGCTCTTCAATTTCATTTCTTTGGAATTGTAGATATCGTACACCAGTTAACGCTCCATGAAAAAAAAACAAGTTAACGACATTATTATTGTGGGCATGTTTATCTAACAGTCAATTACAATATTGAAGTCTTCTTACAAAGTCAGCTTCATAAAGATGTTGATTAAGGTTATACTTAAAAGGATGATAGCCGTGTTTTTTTTTTAATTCTCCTTACAGATTCTCTTGAAATATCTAATTCTAATGTCACTTCTCTTAGCGACGCAACGGGGTTTACGTTGACGTCTGCCCCGACCTTTCGCTTATAATAAAATTATTATGTCCATAATTTTTTCCAAGTATGTCAGAAACATATCAACTTTTCAGGTGACCCGGTTAATAAATATTATTTATAATGGTCACAGCCATTACAATTACATATACAATTTTCAAAATTAAATATAGATATTTATATATATATATATATATATATATATATATATATATATATATATATATATATATATATATATATATATATATATGATGACACTATATTCCGGGATATCATCCGTTCGCTCGTTGAACTCCGACTGGAATCCTGCATCCGACTGGAATCCTGCAAATCTTGCATCCGACTGGAATCCTGCAGACGTTTCGCCAAAATCTCACTTGGCATCTTCAATGCTCGCGCTCCGAAAACACTTCGAACACTCGGAGCGCGAGCATTGAAGATGCCAAGTGAGATTTTGGCGAAACGTCTGCAGGATTCCAGTCGGATGCAAGATTTGCAGGATTCCAGTCGGATGCAGGATTCCAGTCGGAGTTCAACGAGCGAACGGATGATATCCCGGAATATAGTGTCATCACATTTTTCCATCCGTGAATCAATACGTGAGAATATATATATATATATATATATATATATATATATATATATATATATATATATATATATATATATATATATATATATATATATATATATATATATATATATATATATATATATATATATATATTATATATATATATATATATATATATATATATATATATATATATATATATATATATATATATATATATATATATTATATATATATATATATATATATATATATATATGTATATATATATATATATATATATATATATATATATATATATATATATATATATATATATATATATATATATATATATATATATATATACTATATATAGTATATATATATATATATAAAGAAAGAAAAAGAAAGTCAGAAAACCATCCTATCCTACGTCGAATAATCTCTTGAATCCAAAAATGCAAAAAAATATGGGTATGCAATTTAAAATTCGAAAGTTACTGTCTTTTCCACTCAAACCAGAAGTGCAACCAATGGCTGCATATTGTCAGAAAATTGGACATTCAATCCATATTAAGCCTTCCAACTTTGAAATCTATATCTCAATCCGTTTAAAAGTTAAATACTCACACACTTTCTTGTGTCACCCGGTATAAGGTTCGCTGTGACAACATGGGCCACCATTTTATATTGTGTTAGCAGACCTCTCAAAGTTTTTTCAAAGTATATTATTTGTAAATTTTTGTAAGAAACTTCCACAGGCTACTCTAAAACTATTTACAAATCTTCTGGATTCCTGGATTCTGGATTCCTGGATTGTTGATGAATCGAACTTGTTGACGTTTCGCCAATCATCCTGTTGCCGTCTTCAGGTGTCCAATTTCAAATGAACTCTGAAGCAGTCAACAGACGAAACGCCAACAAGTTCGAGTCATCAATAACCGACCCAGAAGGAATACAAAAGATTTGTAAATATTATCATTTGTAAAATCATGATGACTCAAGAAATTTGAATAAAATCAATGGTCGCTCAACCCTCGCCAGCCTACGCAACTGTCAATTTATAATTGGTCACATCTTTCTTATTTGAAATGAGCTGATCTTAATTTTCATTGCTTATCAACAGTACTTTGATTTGATTTAATTTGACATATTTGGTTAAATTTTACTGCATGGTTGTGTACAAGGTTCAAACGATCCACTTGACGCAATGAATGCCATTTTTGGATGTACAATTTCATTTTTTGTCAATATTTTAGATTCGATTTTACAAATTTTTTGGGAAGTTGAATATGTTTCCAGAACTTGCGGAAAAAATGTACGTACCCCAGCAACAATTCGGGAAAATTTGTTTCGGTTCCATTTAAAGTTTTACAGGTACTTTAGAAAATCCTGAAATTCATGTTCAATATTCAGACTTTTTACATGCAATTTTGGGTTTGGATCACATGGAACAAAACGTTTACGCAATAAACGTTTTGAATCCCGAATCATTGTTTTATGTCCAGAGAGCTTCACTTCTCGGATACCTGTTGTTTTTAACGACAATTTTTTGAGGTTTCAAATCAACAGCGTCTAAGTTGCGATTTATTAAAAAGCCCTAAATTGCAACAAAACATCGTCACCATTTTATTAAAACTTTCGTTTTAGACAAACATGAAATTTGTGCTAACATAAACATGATGTTTAGAAATTTCTTTAAAAAACCTGAACATTTCTTGGACATTTGATCCAAAATATAAACCTCAAAAATTTTATTTATAACTATGGTTTATGGTCTTAATTGCAGTCCTTTTTTAGCGAACCTTGTCTTTTTAGGATTAGTTAAGCTTGATGGAAAGGAAATGCCATTAGCCGCTCAAGCCAACGAAAATGACACTTGGCTTACGAGTTCCTAAGTTGACCAGAAAGCCTTACGCAATGAACTATTGTCTTTGTTCTAAAAGCGCGAATTGGAGTTGTGAAAATAATCAAGCAACGATAAGTCGCTTTTATCTAATTTTTTCCCTTCCCTTTCATTTACTAGCCCACTCTCCTCAGAAGTAGATTATGCTGCATCGCTTCAGCTTTTACAGTTACACTGGAATCTCAAATGGCATTCTATTAAACGTACAATGTTGTCAATTTTAGGTATGTTTTTTACTCTCTTGGATATCGGTCCACCATTACCTTTCATGTCAAATATTTAATTTAAAGCTTGTGGTAAGATAAATCGGGATGGGATGCTAAACCTTCAATGGAAACATGTCGCATGGGTTTAGGGACAGGGCAAATTATTTATCCATGATTCCGTTTCTCTAAAAGTACCATTGCGAGACTTGGACCTTGCGCTTGGGCACTTCTGTCAAAATGTATGTAATGTTTTCGTGGTATACAGATTGCTCTATATTGGATAAAAACACACCCATGTCGCTGGTAACAATTGTGTCGGCAATAGGGTTTCTTAAATTCGTAGTAAAATATCTTCGAAATATTGGTGATACGTTAACACGAAAGAAAATGTAAAGTCTATGGCGATATAATGAAATCCGGCAGTAGTGAGCACATTTAAATTAGAGGTTGCCTTAGAATTGTACCGAGAAACATGATAACTTTTCTATTCATTTTCTTTTGCAAATAGGAAGAGCAGCAAATTAACTAACACGTACAAAATCAAAACTAGTTCTGTTTTCTCTTCACCTATTTGACAGAGCTTCATGCAGTGTATCCACGACTTTTGAAGAATGCCATGTTTTCCGATAGTCCTTTTGTTTTTCGGCTCCCACTCGTAACTTGTTTTGAAACTAGTCTCTATACGGTGAAAACGGTTCTTGATACCAATTTTTTACCATACTAGAAGACAGAGTATCGTATTGTAACAGAAATTTCAATAAACGAAGGAATACAGATTGAATTATCAGATGTAGAATCGAGAATTGCAAAAACTAAAAATCCGAAGGCACTGGGCATATGTAATGAGCTTCTGAAATACGGAGATA